TAGGAAATAGGAAGAACTCAGTAACTGCAAAAAAAAAAAAAAAAAAAGTCTAGAAATTTTGCAACTGAGGATTTATTCAATGTGAAATGCAGCTTGAGTTTTAAAGTCCTAATTAAAAAGACAGGTTATGCATTGCTGGTAGGAGTGTAAATTGATACAAGCACCGTTCAGAAAAGCAGAAAAGATGCCCTCTCCCTAAGATGCAGCATGTCCACTCCTGGGCATCAGCCCAAGAGAAACATGTGTCCTGCCCATCAAAGGAAATGGGCAGAAACACTTCCACAGCCTTTTCATAATGGCCCCAAACTGGAAACAGCCCAAGGGGCCATCAACAGGTGAACGGATAAACAAAATATGGTACGTCCATACAATGAAACATATCATAGCAATGAAAGAAAACAAACCTGGCCGGGCGAGGTGGCTCATGCCTGTAATCCTAGCATTTTCGGAGGCTGAGGCCGGTAAATCACAACGTCAGGAGTTCAAGATCAGCCTGGCCAACATGGTGAAACTCTGTCTCTACTAAAAATACAAAAAATTAGCTGGGTGTAGTGGCAGGCACCTGTAATCCCAGCTACTCAGGAGGCTGAGGCAGGAGAATCGCTTGAACCCAAGAGGTAGAGGTTGCAGTGAGCCAAGATTGTGCCACTGCACTCCAGCCTGGGCAACAGAGCTGAGACTCCATCTCAAAAAAAAAAAAAAAAAGAAAGAAAGAAAAAAAGAAAAGAACAAACTTCTGCTTCATACACATGGTTGAAGCTTAAAGACATGAGGGTGAATGAAAGACGCCAAACACAAAGGCAGACATAATCTATGATTCTAATTACAGGAAATTCAAAAACAGGCAAGCTGATAGCAAATGATCACGGTCAGAGTGAGCACCCTGGGGGTACTGACCAGGAAAGGGTGTGAGGAAGCCTGCAGGCGGTAAGAAAGAATCTGGTTTGGTGGTTACAGGGTCTATACATACGCAAAAATTCATCAAGCTGTACACTTAAAATTTGAGCACTTTTCTCTATATACACTTACATTTTAACAAGCAAGAAAATATTTAAAAGCTAAAAAGCAAAAAGCCAGCACACAGTCCCATTAAGATACACACTGCACCAGGGCAGGTGAATCATTTGAGGCCAGGACTTTGAACCAGCCTGGGCAACACAGTGAAATCCCCATCTCTTCAAAAAATAAAAAAAGTTAGCTGGGCGTAGTGGTGTGCACCTATAGTCCCAGCTACTCAGGAGGCTGAGTTGAAAGGATCACATGAACCCAGGAGGTTGAGGCTGCAGTGAGCCATGATTGCACCACGGCACTCCAGCTTGGATGTCAGAGCCAGACTCTGTCTAAAAAATAAAAATAAAAAGATGCAGACTGCTGAGGGTAAGGAGTGGGTGCCCAGGACACTACCAGAGCTCAGGTCCTAAGAAGGGAGCTGGGAGGCAAGGCTGTCCTGACTCTGGAGCAGTAAAGGCAGGAATCCTGCCTGATCCTAACTAATTCATCCAGACCTTAGCCCTACTTCAGGCAACCACTAAGTCTAACCTGGTCCTAAATCCCACCGCTCCTAGCATCCCTAAAACTGGAACCCCAGCCTCCTCTGGCCTCCTTCCCTCCAGCCAAGCTCCACATTGCCTAAGGGCAATCCTTTCCTGACTCCTCTCTACCTCCTAGAGAAACATCCAGGCTACTGGGCCTGGCCTCCAGGGGCTGGCCCACCACCCTCCACTGCTCTTCTCTTGCAGCTAATGCACACTGCTCTTCAACCACGTTGAGCATCATCCCCTGCTTGGGGGTTCTGCCTGACAGACAGCAGACTGTGTAGGTTCTAAACTCCCCACCTAGCTGGACATCCCTCTCCCACCCACAGATCAAGGCAGCCTCGGATCCCACTGCCAGCCCAGAAAGTCCACACTCATCCTTAGCCTCTGCTATGGGCCAAGTTGCATCTCCCAAAATTCATACACTGAAGTCCTAACTCCTGGTCCCTCAGAATGTAATTGTATTTTGGAGATAGGGTCTTTAAATACTTAATTAAGATAAAGTAAGGTAATCAGGGTGGACCCTACTGCAATCTGACTGATATCCTTATAAGAAGTGGAATTAGGTCACAGATGGGAACAGGGGGAAGACCATATGAAAACCCAGGAGAAGACCAGCTGACCACAAGCCAAGGAGAGAGGCCTTGGAAAAGGCCAACCCTTGCTGGCATCCTCATCTCCAACTTCCAGCCTCGATAATTGTGAGAATGGATTTCTCTTATTTCAGCTACCTAGTCTGTGGTACTTCTCTGTGGAAGCCCTAGCAAACTAAGAGAGCATCTCAAAGCCCCCACCCTCCTGCTGTCCCATCCCTGAGCCCCCGGCTGTGCCCAAGTCCCTTCCCCACAAGACCAAGGGGACAGGCCTGGTCTGACTAATCACTGGGTTCCTAGCATCACTAGACCAGAATGGATTGTAACTGCTGAATGTCCCTCTCTGCAGCAGTCTCTGTCTCCTACTACTTCCCACCCCTGTCCTACTGTCTCTTTGCTATTTATTTTATTATATTTATATTTTGGGACAGAGTCTTGCTCTGTTGGCCAGGCTGGAGTACAGTGGCACAATCATGGCTCACTGCAGCGTCGACCTCCTGGGGTCAAGCTATCCTCCTGCTCCAGCCTCCTGAGTAGCTGGGACTACAAGTGTGCACCACCATATCCAGCTAATCAAAAAAAAAATTTTTTTTTGTAGAGTTGGGGTCTCCTTAGGTTGTTCAGGCTGGTCTCAAACTCCTGGGCTTAAATGATTCTCCTGCCCTGGCCTCTGGGATTACAGACGTGAGCCACCACCATACCTGCACTCTGACATTAAAAACATTTCCTGAGGGTTTGGCATGGGCTGTTCCCTCTGCCTGGAACATTGTTCCCCAATCTGTCCACCTGGTGACCCCCTACACATCCTTCAGGACCCAGCATAAGCTCTGTTTTCTTTCTTCTTTCTTTTTTCTTTTTTTTGATACGGAGTCTCACTCTGTCGCCCAGGCTGGAGTGCAGTGGTGCAATCTTGGCTCACTGCAACCTCCTCCTCCCAGGTTCAACCAATTCTCCTGCCTCAGCCTCCTGAGTAGCTGGGATTACAGGTGCGTGCCACCACGTCCGGCTA